ATATGCTCAGCTAAGGGGAAAAATGGTAAATTGCCTAATAGATCTAAATAAGTTGTCTAAAATGCAAGCAAGAATAGTGTGATTAGAATTGTCAAATACTTCTTAAGATACACGGAAAACAGATTAAGAAGGCCCACAACTTGTGTGGTTGAAGTCCCAGAAAAGTAGACTCAACAGAATGAATGAAAGACAATATTCAGAATAATAGCTAAGAATCTTCCAGATCAAGAATCGACAGGAGTACAACCTATACTGAGCCAGATAAGTAAAGTGAAACTCATTTTAAACAAAAACTGCAGAACATCAAAGGCAAAAAACCACAACCAGAGAGAAAAGGTATGACCTCCAAAGCAACAACTTTTGGATATAAATCACTTCTCATCTGCAAAGATGCAAGTCTGAAGAAAGGGAGAGGTCTTCAAGTGATGGGCAAAATAGATGTTCTTCTAATGTGGGGGCACCAGTAAAAGCTCTAGGGTGCAAGGGTAGAAGTATCTATGATTTTTAGATAAACAGAAGCAAAAGTGTGTTTGATCAACATTCTTCTGTTAAAAGATCTACATGGGGATTGCATGCTTTTCCTTAAAGAGCCAGATAGTAAGTATTTCAGATCGCAGCCCATCCAGTCTCTGTGGCAAGAATTCACCTCTAGTGTACCAGTGCAAGTGCAATAAAGCTGTCATTATGCTCTCAGTGGATAACACAGGGACATGTGGGAAAACTATCAGAAATGAGAAAAGTTGTCAGTGGCATATATGAAAATTATATTTGTGTATATTATAAAACATTAGAAATCATAATTTTTAAAGAAGGCACCATTTATACTAGCAAAAGAAAGGTAAAGTATAGAGAGTAAGTCTAAAAGAGATGTCCGAGACTTAGTTGGAGACAAGAACCTTAACAACAAGTCTGTTCTAAACTTTAGATGGAAGAGCAAAGGCCCAAGAATATTAAAGACTTTTCTAAAGAAGAAAAATAAGATGTAAGACATAATAATTAAAACAATTTTATTGTTGTGGACATGGATAAATTGATCAAACAGACTAAAACAGCTGCAAGACAGATCAGTACATATATGGCCACTTGAAATCCAAAAGAGATGACTTTGCAGAGTAATGGAAAAAGAATGAATGAAAAACCAAATTGGGTCCCTACCTCATACCATTCAAACTCATTGATTCCATCAGTGGATAAATGGGCTTTTAAAAGGTAGCTTTTTTACACAATGGAATACTATTTAGACTTAAACAAAAACCAGGAAATTCTGTCATGTGTGACAACATGGATGAACCCAGAGGGCATTGTATTAAGTGAGATAAATCATCCACAGAGAGACATCTGGAATGTTAAAATGACAAACTCATAGAAGGAGAGTAGAATGGTAATTTCATTCTACTTGGGGGATGGGGAGGGAGCAAGTACCAGGCTTTAGCTGGGAAATAACACTCGAAGAGTTTCTTTTGGGAAAAACATAGCTGAAAGAAGTGAGTGGCAGTGCAATTTATATGCCAGTTTACTGAATAGAAAACCAGGTCAAGAATAGGATGGTCCAAAAAAAAAAGTCTTACAGCCAACTATCTTGCTATCTGGCTTACCTCTAACTTTTCTTCCTTGCTTCACATTTAGTATTGAATTAACTAAGAGGCAATTGTATCTAGAATGATGGCATTTTGAACTATTCAGCTTTTCTGTTTGAGGGTAGTTCACTTCTTGACATTTAGAATAAAAGAAAATTTCAAGTTACTATTTGAACTGGGATATTCGTTTTTGACTAAATACCTATTTCTGTGCTATCTATTGGTATTTTTTCAGCTAAAATTCTTCTCCTAATAGTTATAATGTCAGAATAAGATATGTTTTAAATGAGGTAAGCTTTTAAATAAAAATCAATAGTGTATTTTCCATAACACAAAATAGCTTTAAGAACTTCTTCAGACCTTTTTTCTAAAGGGAAACATTGTACAGGTCATGGAAAGTAATTTTGACTTTTTAACGCCCAGTGGAGTACCAAGAGGGTGTGTCAGTTACAACTGATGACAGATGGCCTGTGGAATGCTCACACTGAAATATATTCAATTATTAGATTAGAAATGTATATCAGAAAATGTTATACCTTAATTGGATTCATTAATAATTTATAGGATATATTGTTTACCTCTTATAGGTTCCTTTTCACTTCCCTTAAGCAATAAATAGTTTTGGTTCCTGAACATTTGCTTATCCTTTTCTTTATCACAAGCCCTTTTCTAACCTCATTTCCCTGATAGTTCATACATGTGTACACATGCGTAGCACATATAGACATCCACACTTACCTTTGAACCTATGCTTATTTTCTACTTTTATGATGCCAGCTCCTACCTTCCTGATGTACCTTGATTTTTATAGCAACTTTTGCCTCATAGCTGTCTCTTAATAGGCGTGACCATAAAATGACCATAATATGAAGCAACATGATGGAAAAAGACTAATTGGCTAGCTTTCAAATCTTATAATTTGCTGTTTCTCCCTACTTCTATTAGAATGAAAGAAGAAAATGAGAATGCAAATTCTAATTTGATATTTGGAGAGATGCATGCTACAGCATCTAGTATTGCATCTGATGTTTTATAGCTTGGTAGTAATAATTTGTCTTAATGTATCTCAAGAACTATGAAGAGTTTTAGAGTTTACCTACAAGGAGGCTAACAAGTTGACCTGCCACAGTTTCATGGATATTGGCAGAATATAAGACTGTGGGATCAAACAGAAGTTTATTACTCACAGCAATAGCATTAGTCAGATTAAATCACCTGGCTGGGTTTCGGCTCCCACATTCCCACAAGGCATTGTGAACACCTATATAGCTAGTGGCCTAAGTTTAGAGTTTAAGGAATCCCATTTTTTATAATAGGCAGTAAGGTTGCCCCTGTTTACCATTCTGGAAAGTAACAAATTCATTGGTTTATGAGGGAGACACTACCTCTGTCTTCCAAAACTGTTCATTATGCATGTTGTCTTTGCAAAGATAGTTTGGAACAAAGGTTCTCGGTTAGTGCTTATATCTCAGATGGCTTAGTTTTACACTTTTCTTCTTGAAAACCTCCAGTTTATTTCCAGTACCCTTAAAAGAAAGTCCAGGCCGGGCTCGGTCTCAACCTGTAATCCAAGCACTATTGATGGCTGAGGCAAGTGGATTGCCTGAACCCACGGGTTTGAGACCAGAACGGGCAACTTGACGAGACCTTGTCTCTAAAATAAGTCAAAAATTAGCCAGGTGTGGTAGCACGCACCTGTAGTTCCGGCTACTTGGAAGGCTGAAACTGAAGGATCGCCAGAGCCCAGCAGGTCGACGCTGGGGTAGCTGTGAGTGTGCCGTTGCACTCCAGCCTGGGCAAGGGAGTGAGACTCCAACTCAAAAAAAGAAAGTCCAGCTTCCCTATCTTGTTAGAGGCCCTGACCTGTCAGGCCTCAGCATACCTGCCTGAACCTGTCTTGCTTCTCTGTACTGCCCTTCTTTCTGTCTTCCAGGCCCACCGGCACCTTTGCATGAGCACTTTTCTGTCTTTCTGATTCCTTCCCCAGATCATCACTTGGCTGGCTCCCTGGCCTTCAGAATTCAGCAGTGGCACCTTGTCTAGCCACCTGCTGAACAGTAAGCCCCAAGAATTCTTTCGCCTCACTCTTTTACCTTGTTGCTGCTGCTGTTCCTTGTCTGTCTCTGTCCCTGCCCCACCCTACCACACAGAATGTAAGCTTGTTTCAGCGTGCACTCTCTTGTGCCCCTGCTGTCCGCCTTCCTATGTCTTCCCCCTCGCTGTCCCTTCCCCTTCTCTCCTTCCTCCCCTTCTTCCCCATCTTGACCTCTTCCTTACAGCATGCCATCTCCATAGTCTCAGTATTTATTGAATGAACAAATGGATGCATGAAGAGTTAATATGCCTTCTGTGCTTTTTGTTTCTCCCTTTTTCCTTGTATTTTATTGTTTGGTCAAAAATATTATATGATTTCAAATGAAGAAACAGTACTATCACCAAAGTTTAAAAAAAAAAAAGTGTACTACAGTAAAGAAGAAAAGCCTCCCCTGAAAATAACATAAGCCTCCCACTTGTTATAGTTTAATGACACACTTTTCTATTTAATACCACACTGTTTCTATTTGATACACTCTTTTCTATTCAATGTTTGATAAACTAGCAGTTTGATATCTGTTTAGTTTTACTGGCACTTAATGTAACACCATCCTCTTTGTTGGCACTTAGAAAAATTCATATTTACCTGTGAAAAAATCTCACCAATGCCACATTTCTTGATTTGTATAAAATGTCTAAAATAAGAAACTAAATAACTAATTGCATATTTATTGAGATATTCTTGTGATTAGCATGTCGATCAATTTTGATCCATAGCCAGAAGACGTGGCTCAAAATGCATATATATGTATTTTGCGGGGAGGGGAGTGGTCAGGGTCTGTTGCCTAGGCTAGAATGCAGTGGCACAATCTTCATTCACTGTAACCTCAAGCTCCTGGGCTCAAGTGATCCTGCCTCAGTCTCCGGAGTAATTAGTACTACAGCACATGCCACCACACCTGGCTAATTTAAAAAAAAAAAAATTATAGAGACAGTATCTTGCTATATTGCCCAGGCTGATTTTGAACTCCTGGCCTCAAGCAATCTTCCCATCTCAGTTTCCCAAAGTGCTGGGATTACTACAGGCATGAGCCATAGTTTCTGACTCCCTTCTCTCTTTTACTTAGCTAATTCAGCTAAGATGCAGGTGTTTTAACATTACAGTTGTATTTATAGATATTATACAGAATATAGATGCACTGTATTATTTTTACAATAAAGATATGTGCATACCTTTTAAAAGACTGTGTTACTAACATGAGAACTAAAAGTTTCCCAGTTGTGCTTGTACCTTGAGTATAATGTCGGGTTGGTAATTTCAATTTTTTTGTTTTAATCACTGTGGTTAAAATTGATCATTTTCTCCCTCCTCCAACTTTTTTGTAATAGCAAGCAAGAAAGGAGAACATTAAAAAAAGAGAAGCAGAGGAAAAAGAAAAACGTGCCAGAATAGCTAAAGAATTAGCAGAGAAAGAAAGACTTGAACGCCAGCAAAAGAAAAAACGCTTATTAGAAATGAAGACTGGTGAGTACTCTCAAATTTGCTGCTTATTCTATGTATAATTAAGATTTATACTGGTGACTTTATTAGCATATTGATGCTCTTGGTGATCACTTGTTTCTGTAACTAAGCCATAAAAGAGTTCTCTTTTTATGAGCTATTACCTACCCCTTTCATTTACTAACTGAGTGGGATCTTCCTTCCAATGTTTGTTACAGGTGATCTGGCCCTCTGGAGCACTTTTTGGTTGCGGTAGATTCACATTTCTTTGATTATTATTTTGATAACCAATCTGTAATAATGTGCGTTAATTAACAGATTAGCAACGAGAAACACTGTGGGAAGTTCTGTAGGACCTGGTTTCTTCAAAAAAATACTCAAGGGAGGTAAAAATGTAATGGCAGAGAAACATTGATTAAAACAGTCTAAAGAGACCAATTGCAGTATATGGAATTTATGTCTATTCCAATGTCAACAGTAACTGTAGAAAAAGGGGTCCAAAAAATTTGGATGCTTTTTTTCTCTTGTAGACATGACAACATTGTTGTCAATGTTTCAGAGTATCTTTTAGAGACTCATGCTGAAATTTTCCAGAAACATATGTATATATATTTTCAAAAGCTAAAAGATACCACTAAGTTAGAAGCAAAAGAATTAAGTAAAATGTAGGTACATTTTTGCTCCCTGAAAATTCTGGCTTTTCTGCCTCCAAGCCACTAAGGATTGTACAAGGCTTTAATTAAAATCCATCATCTTCATTGCTAAACCACCATAGTTTACAATTCAGGGCTGCAAATTCACATAGGGTTTCCTCAGGGAGAGAGAAAGATGCCTGCTTTACCTTCTTTACTTTCACTTTTACGGGCATATTTTATGTTTAATAAAGCAAAATGAGTGCCTTAATGTATTGTACTTATTTCTTCCAGGGAAGAAAAATCATCTAAGCACAGTTTCTTATTTGTGTTTGAAATTCAGGGACTAGTCTCAGAAATAACTTAAAGTGTTAGCAGAAAAGGAGATCAGAAAGGTTTAGTGTTGATTTTAAAAATATGATTCTGGAGATAATTTTAAACTGATGTATTACTGTCTAATTTACAGAACATTCTGGCATTTGAACATAAGCTCCTTTAGTGTTGGCTAGAGTCATCTAGATGAGTTACTAGATGGCGGATTGACTGTTTGTTTGTGGTTTTTGCTTGAGGCTGGATCACACAGAGCCTTTCAGGAATTTTCCATTACATTGGTTTGAAACCTAATTGGACACAAAAATGTTATTTTATTTTTTGAGTTGGAGTCTCACTCTGTCGCCCAGGCTGGAATGCAGTGGCATGCTCACGGCCACCCAGCCTCAACTTGCTGGGTTCAATAGCTGGAACCACAGGTGTGTACCACCATGTCTGGCTAATTTTTTGATATATGGTAGAGATGAGGTCTCACCACGTTGCCCAGTCTGGTCTCAAGCCCCTGGACTCAGGCAATCCTCTCACCTCCACCTCCCAAAGTGCTGGGATTACAGGCATGAACCACTGTACCCGGCAGACATAAAAATTTTAATAGAACTTCCAATGTAATCTCAGTGATGTTTTGATTTAAATTTATATTTTTCCTGAAGGAAAGTTTGTTTTTAAGCATGAGTTTATTTTATTTTTCAAATTTAAAAATAATATTTTTGGATTACAGAAAGCTTTTAATAAAGTATTATATCAAAAGATCATGATCTAGAGAATCACTGTTAATGTTTTGGTACGTTGTTCTTTCAGTTTTAAAATGTTCTGCTTTTTAACAGTAGCTATAATCCTAGTAAATATGCAACTTAGTGTCTTGCTTTATCTTGGTGAACTTTCTGAATGTTTCATGAGTCATTCATAATTTGTAACTCTTAATTTAATATCTAGGTCATTGAACACACTGGATATGCCATATCTAGCTTAATTTGCATTAGTCAATACTGAACTTACAGAACAATAGTTATTTCTGACCTTTCAATATAATAAATATTTTTATTCACAAATAGATGGAAAATGTTATACAGAATAGAATAGGATGATATATTTAAGACTTTTGATGCATGTTGCCAAATTGATTTCTAAGAGTATTATTCTAATTTCCCCAACTTTCAAAATTGGATTATGATTGTGCCTTGGTTGAGTATTCTTAATTTTAAGATTTTTGCTAATTTACTAGATTAAAAAGGTATGTTTCATTATCGTAATTTGTATTTCTTTGAGTGCCGCTGAAGTCAGATATTGTGTTAGTGTTTATTGTTTGATTTTTATTTCCTCCATTGTGAATTGTATCACCTTAAACTTTTTCTGATTGATTTATACAAGTTAGTTTATTATGCGTTAGTATTTACCTTTTAAACATGTTTTCCCAATTTGGCTATTTATTTTTATACCTTGAAATATTTAAAGGTGTTTCTTTTTTTTATCTGTAATGTTTTATTTTAATATTTGCCTTTGTGATTTTTTTCTATCACCCTTAATTTAGAAGTAAGTCATCCTTTCAGAAATTATATCAGCTTCAATTTTTTTCTAGTTTTAGTTATTCACAATACAACTCTGCTTCACTTATTTCTAATTATTTTTTAATTATTCCTACATTTTATATATAGGTTTTAATATATTAGGTTTGTTTCTGAATTTTACCAAAACAATTCTAATATTTAGTTATCAATTGTGGTTAATAGTTCGTTTATGTTGTTTTAAGATAGGTAATTTTATGTTTAGGACATTAACTTCTATTCATAATTTTTAAAATAGGTTTGAATTTTTTTATTTTTAAAAATAGGTTTAAGGAAAAATTTGATGGTATCTTTTGTTTATCATAAAGTTCATCTTATCTGACTTATTGGGTTATTTTATGAAATTTTTCTTTGCTATCCCTTTTCAAATTATCATAGGTGAGTCTTAAGTAAATGTAAAATCCTTACCCAGTGGGGTTTCCTAAAGCCTTTCATATGCTGAGGTGCATATGTATCATATATTTTGACATTTTTCAGGAGTGTTCTGCAGAGTATAGCCTGGGTAACATATTAATGATACTAAAGTATATACTTTTAGAATAATATCTGTAAAATAAATATATTATATATGAATATGTCTTGGATGTCATTAAAGTCATTTGACACAAGATGATGAAACAAATCTATGATATAAGAAGCTATATTTGAGATATTTTTTGTCTTTTGAAAACATTCGAAAATTTTGGAAATCAACTTTGTGTTTTTTTAGACTATGCCATTTTATAGAATCTAGATATAATAGCCACAGTTTCATAACATGCAACCATACTATCCTCACCCAAGTAAAAGACCACTTCTAAAACCCCAATAAATGATTATTTTGAATTGTCCTTAATTTTTTTTGAACACAACTTAATTTTAAATGAAGAATAACAAAATATTAGATCTTTTAAAGTAGTTGCTATAGCCAAGTAAGTCATATAAGAATCAAATATATTATTATGCACTTATTTATTGATACCTTTCTCATTTAAAAAAATTTACAAATAGTCATCTTTTTTCTATTAGATACAGAATATGCTTTTTTGTAAAATCATGATTTTCATAACATTTGAAGGCCTTATGAAGTAGAAATTACTGAAATAATTAACACTTTATTACTAAAAATATTCTTTTTTTTTTTCTTTTTCTTTTTCTTTCTTTTTTTTAAAAATTGGAATCTCACCCTGTTGTCCAGGCTGGAGTGCAGTGGCATGCTCATGGCCACTCCAGTATGGACCTCCTGGACTCCAGTGATCCTTCCACCTCAGCCTTCCAATTAGCCAGAACTACAGGCATGCACTACCATGCCTGGCTAATTTTTGATTTGTTGTAGAGACAAGGTCTCGCCAAGTTTCCCAGGCTGGTGTTGAACCCACAGACTTAGGCAGTCCACTCGCTGGCCTCCTAAAGTGCTGGGTTTACAGGCTGAGCCACCGAGCCCAGCCACCAAAAATATTCTTAATAAAATATCACTTTTTTAAACTTCTAAAGGGATACATATAATTTTTTTTTTTTTTTTTTTGAGTTGGAGTCTCACTCTGTCACCCAGACTGGAGTGCAGTGGCCGCTCCCGGCCACCGCAGCCTCAACCTGCTGGGCTCCTGCGATCCTTCCTCCTCAGCCTTCCAGGTAGCTGGAATTACAGGTGTGTGCTACCACGCCCGGCTAATTTTTGATTTATCGACGAGATGAGGTCTCGCCAAGTTGCCCAGGTGGGTCTCAAACCCGCGGGCTCAGGCAATCCACTCACCTCAGCCTCCCAAAGCGCTGGGATTACAGGCTGAGCCACCAAGTCCGGCTACATATAATTTTATACATTCCTGATATTTGAAAATATGATCTTAAATAAAAACATTGTATGACGAAAGTATGTTTTATGGTCTTCTATAAATATTTTATTAGTAAAAAAGTTTAATAGTAGGCCATGTTTTATTACTTATTTTATTAATCAAAAATAATATGCTGAGATTTTTAATATGCTGAGATTATAGTGATAGATATAAATAAATAAGGTCTCTGCTGTAATGAAGTTTAAAATTCGAATGAGTCAATCAGTTAATCAAATATATAAAATAAATTTAGATATTAATTTATAGCAACTAAAAACTAGGGTAATGAGAGGGAGACTGACATAGTGATGGTGATAAAACTTAGTCTTAGAGGACTAAGGAGACTCTTAATATGTATCAAACTTCCTAATTTAAAGTACTGGATAGTAAAAATCCACAGAGCCTTAGATAACCGGCTAATGTTTTTATGCTGCATTATATGTCCTAATGTAGTAGTGTATTTTCAAAGCTTCCTACTGTGAGAATTAGCTAAAAATTTATCAAATTTTTCTTTACCTATTATATTTATTAGTTTTACATATATATGTTAGTATTACATATATATGTATTATATTTTAGCACAAAACACAATTCTGCTCAAATCTTTGTAGAAACTTTCAGGATGGCTCTCCTACTTTTAAAGGAATGTGGAAGGGTGAATTACTGAATTTATACGAGCGTCTTGTGCT